TGTGACCTTTTTAATCCCTGTTCCATACCTGACTCTCTCTCTTTATCCACTCCTGCTACTACGACACTCTTACTCTTCTTCAATAAACTTTTAACGGGTTTTAGCTTATGCAACTGCTCTGGTTTGAGTTTACTTGGCAAGTGGCGGAAGAAGTTTCCTTGCTACTCGCCGTTCCCTTTCTCTGTACTTCTCGTACCCATCCGCCTATCTTCCACTGAACTCAATTTGTTGGCTCATCACCTATTCCAGCAGTTGGTCGTAAACTGTGGTATTGTATAGTGTACTAAAACTAGGGGTATCAAATTGGCAATTATTATTCAAATTTAAATGGACATGCAGAATACAATAAACATACAGAAATACATCAAAAAATGTTACAAACGGTAACAAACACTTTGCGACAAAACACGACTACTCTAGTAGCACGCTTGTCAGAAATCAATTGTAGAAACTTATATACGACTTATTTCAGTCATAAACAAGTTGCTGTAACTTATTGTGATGAAAGTGTGCTACTCGGGTACGTTTTCGCTTGATATGCAAATAGTTTCCGAGGTTGACCTCAAGTTGGCGATGCAACCAAAAGTATATATTTTTTTATTTGTTGTTCATTTAATCTCTCGATAGCCGACTATCGAAACAGAATATTAATTTTGTTAAGCGATCATGAGTCATGACGGAGAGCTTGGAATTAAACCCATGATTTTCTGCTCAGTAAGCAAAATCGATCTCTCCAGGGTCATCGAGCATCTCATAATCCACAGCACTTTGCGTTAAAGTACGAATATATGGATGAACTATCTTTTATTGAATAGCTATTATTTACGATAATTACATGAAAGAAATAAAATATAAACTACAAGCAAAACGAGACTACTAAAATCTCAAAAAGATATTCTTACAAATATATTTGACGCAACCAGGAATCTCAAAACCATTAGACGCTATAATGATACTCTGCACATGTTAGACACAAGAAGAGGCCAGAAAGCAAGCGTCCAACACACAAAACCCGCCAAATCCACTTGCAGTCCCAATCAACGGTTCTACGAATCGCGAGCGCTCACGAATCATAAAACCGCTGACTGCGACACTCTGAAAGCGAAATTGACAGGCGTCAAACACCCGCCCTACATCTCCTCCCGCATCCAACAACACAAATCTCCACAACAAAATCTAACGAATTCAAAACTCCGAAAATCACTCATCTATAGCAAGTGAGTGGAAGCAACCCTGCAGTGTATTCTTCATGATACACTTTTTCTGCCTATCTTTCTATTAGGCCTGTGTACATGCGTTAGCTTCGAAACTTCTAACCAAACTAGGAAAATTTTCAGATCACAAAAAAAAAACTTGAAAAAAACTTTCAAAGGTAATTACAAGTAAAATAAATATTGATAATTTTACGCAAAAACGAGCAAGTAAAGGGTGATACGGTCAAAATTTGGTCAAGGGAAAACGCGTGTAAATCGGTGAAATCGTTTATTTAAAAAATCAAATTAAATTTCTTTTTCAAGTTCAATTAGTATAAAATTCAGGAAAAATATTCAGTTAGGCTTCCGCTTTTCCAAATCCGAATTGCCGGGCCTTACGCTTGACCCCTGCCATCAGATTTTGTACAGCCACCTTGTCCACCTTCTCCGCCGCAGAAAGCCAGTTTGCCTTGAACTGCTGCTCGCCCTTAGCAGTTTTTTTGGTCTTCTTTAGGTTCCGCTTGACAATAGCCCAGTATTTCTCAATTGGGCGGAGCTCTGGCGTGTTGGGAGGGTTCTTGTCCTTGGGAACCACCTGCACGTTGTTGGCGGCGTACCACTCCATGGCCTTTTTACCGTAATGGCAAGATGCCAAATCCGGCCAAAACAGTACGGAACAACCGGGTTTCTTCAGGAAAGGCAGCAGACGTTTATTCAAACACTCTTTCACGTAAATTTCTTGGTTGACAGTCCCGGAAGCTATGAAAATGCTGCTTTTCAAGCCACAAGTACAGATGGCTTGCCAAACCAGATATTTCTTTGCGAACTTTGACAGTTTCATGTGCTTGAAAACATCTGCTACCTTTCCCCTTCCTTTTGCCGTATAAAACTCCTGTCCCGGAAGCTGCTTGTAGTCGGCTTTGACGTAGGTTTCGTCGTCCATTACCACGCAGTCAAACTTTGTCAGCATCGTCGTGTACAGCCTCCGGGATCGCGCTTTGGCCGTCGTATTTTGTTTATCATCGCGATTTGGAGTCACTACCTTCTTGTAAGTCGATAGTCCGGCTCGTTTTTTGGCTCGATGCACGGTTGTAGACGATACACCCAGCTTATTTGCGGCATCTCGGAGAGAGAGGTTAGGGTTTCGCTTGAAACTACCGGCAACTCTCTTTGTCGTCTCAGTGGCTTCCGGTTTTCGATTTCCCCCCGATCCAGACTTCCTGGCTGTCGACAAACGTTCCCCAAACACTTTAATTACATTTGTAACGGTTGATTTGGCAACTTTTAGCGATTTTGCCAACTTTGCGTGCGAGTAGCTCGGATTTTCGCGATGCGCGAGCAAAATTTTGATACGCTGCTCTTCTTGCTTGGACGGCATTTTGACAACTGAAGAGTGAATTCCAAAATCAAAATAGGAGCAACATTCTACACACACACACCTTCAAAATGAGGGGTGTTCAGGTTTTTTAAATGCAAAATTGAAAGAAATACGTCAAGTTGATATTGACCAAATTTTGACCGTATCACCCTTTAATATTAAATCTCTTGTATCGCATGCTAATGCTAATTGACTGTAACAAAAATTGTATGCTTAAATAAAATAAAATTGTATGCAAAATATACTAGAAGATCATTACTTTATTGGTGATAAGTTTCTAATAAGCCCTCCCAGTTCCTCTGTATACAGAACAAATATGATACTATAATCAGAATTGCTCAGTTTGCATGAAGCAGCCGATTTCATCAAGGAAGTTCTATTAACAACCAAGAATTAATCGTTTGAGGCATACTGAAGCATTAAGAAGGTGATATGTGTCACTATAGGAAATCATCATCGTTGCAAATATAAAGAAATTAAACATAACCCTTTGCTTCAGTACCGTTAACCTCCATGTCCATGGGGAGGGACATTTATTGGATTCCGCGAAATTACCATAAATTTAGTTTTACTTGTATTCAATTTCAACTGCTTATACTTCTACTTAGAGAACGCAAATCTTCATTCAAGTGTAGAACGGCGTTATCTCAATCCTTAGCTGCAATGAATAACATTGTATCATCTGTAAAAAGATTAATGTCGCAAAATCGTGAAACACGTCGCATGTCATTAATATACATAATAAATAAAAGGATTGGGGCACTCCAAGGTTATTCCTCACGGGACTGGAAGCATAATCATTAAAAACAGTCTGTTGAGTTCTGTCAGACAAATTAAAAAACTGTATTCGAAAAAAAAACGCTACCCATCAAATCCTGTGCAACACTTGCGCCATCTTTCTTGCACACTTTCATCCACTCTTTCTTCAAATCCTTGTCGTTTTTGAAGACCTTCCCTGTTTTGCGGAGCTTCCCTTCATAATCGCCCAGATTTTTTCTATCGGGAGAAGTTCTGGCGACCTTGGCAGATTGGCCTCCTTCGGCACAAACACAACATCGTTGGCTTCGTACCACTCCATCGCCGGTTTCGCGTAAGGGCACGATGTCAGATCCAGCCAAAACAGAGTGGCACTCTCGTGGGACGGCAGGTGCTTCTGCAGGCATTCTTCTTTATATGTTTTGCCGTTGATGGTGCTTCTCCGGAACATCCAGGCGGAACTTGCCGACGAAAAACTCTAGGTCGGGGATCTGCTTGGCGTCCGCTTTAATGTACGTCTCGTCGTCCATTACGATGCATATCGGCTGCACCAACCGCTTGCGGTACAGCTTGCTGGCACGGGATTTGGCAACCGTATTCTGTTTATCGGTTCGGTTAGGCGCCTTCGTTACCTTTAAGACATGAAATCTGGCCTGCTTCATTGTCTGCTGGACGAATGAGACGGAAGAATTGATCTTCTTCGACCGCGTACCGAATCGAAAGGTTCGGATTGCGCTTGAAGTAAATCCCTCCCTCACGGGGTCGGTCATCTTCGCTTTTCTTCCGCTTCCAGCTCGCCGTTGGGTCGTCTGGGTCTCCTTGAACGATTTTACCGCACGGGACACGGTCGAATTGTCGGTTCCAAACTGTTTTGCGATCCACCTGCAGAACTGGCCTGGATTTTCCACGACCGCTTCCATAATTGTTTGTCGAAGCACTTCTTGCTTGGAAGCCATCTCGATAACCAGTTGATAGATTGTGACGAGATTTTGCAAATGAAAACATTACACTCTAAACTAGTTTTACTCAAAATGTCATAAATTTTTACCCATATGCAATAAACTCACGGTGGATACAGAAATTGATGACCGTGCTACAGGATGCTGATGCTGATGCGCATAAAGGCAGCTAAAACACCGATGGTGGCTTCAAGAACCAATAGCCATGACAGAGGATTGGTAGATTCGATATTAAAACTGAAAGCTTACGGTAATCCATTGGTCAAAAATGTGTTAAGTTTGTCATTCAAGTAGCCTCTCTAAGATTGTATGATTGAATCGTTTCAGAGAAACCGAGAAACAGCAGATTCTTCGGTCAATGCAAAACTAACCATTCCCAACATACTGAGGAGCAACAAACCAAACCTTGTTTTCACCGTTCCAAATTTTCCTCTCCTATACTGGATAAGCGCTCATCTCCAACACACATACCCGCTAAAATAGAACTAGAGCGCGCACCACGCGCCTTTATCACCCTGAGATACTGATAAGCCGGCGTTGTTTACTATTTGTGTAAACAACTCCCGCTCGCAACACATTCTCACTCTCATTTTAGAGATATTTTTTGGAGAAAATTCCACTCACCTTCGCTCGCTCACCACAGTTGGCAGAAAATCTACCATGCTGCTTTTCCAGCCAGCTAGTGCTCAGTCTGGCACGGATACTCGTCGCGATTGGAACTGTTCTTCACTACGCCTTCTGCCACATAGTGGCGTCGAATCTCCTGAAACCTCCTCAACTCGAGCGGGCAACCGAATTTCAGCGGAGTGTGAGTGAAAGTGGAAAAAGTGAAAATCAAGGTTGGAACAGTGTGACATAGGGGAAATAGTTGGTGTGGGTGGGAGGCAAGTTTTGAAGCCTCTCTCAACCGGAAATATCCTTCGGTGCTGTCCATCCACCTAGGCATGGTCGATGGCTGCGTGGAATAACGACAACTTCATCGGAGTAGCAGCAGCTGAGTGTGAGTGTGAAGACTGCCCCGAAGGATAATAACTGAATTGTTGATGTTCATAGCCGCACGCGCGTCATCATCCACCCCATTTAGCCTTTTTTCCACGCTTTCCACCCATCAGAGAGGGGAGGGGGGACTGTCTATCATTGTGTCTCGGTGTGTGGCTTCGATCCGTTTTTATTCCTCCGATGATGGAGGACCTGCCGACAGGCAGGTGGTGCATTGAAACTTTGTCGCTTGCGTATTCCAATTTGTAGTTTCGCACACCGGGAGAATGGGGTAAATATTGCAATGTGCACGATAGTAGGGTAAACAGGTATAATACACCCCCCCCCTTAAGAAAAAGCGGTTATATACAGTTGATCTGTTGCTTTGAAAGTAAACATGTAAACATGTTTTCCTTCGGATACAGTTAACATAGAAGTTAGGAAACGTATTTTGATACCACCCAAAATTCTAGGTTCTTCAACTATATTTTACTTCGATAACAAAATGACCGTATGCTCTATACTAGAAGTATAGTGTGCCATAAAACGACATGCCTCAGAGCGCTAATAATAGATGTCTCAGACTGCACAAAGATTGAATAAATATCTTTTTGAATAGGCTTACCAGAATGATTTGCATTTACGTTAATCCTGGATTCGATGATAAATAATGGGGCGTATCGCCATGTTGAAAGTGGGGCATAGTACCCCTGGGTGAACCGAGGTAATAAATTAATTGAACAGGCGTTTTAAACTTCGCTTTATGCATTACAAAAGAACAACCAATGCTGACTACTGTGTTACCTGTCTTATAACGAATATACGTTGTATACGAGTACCCCGAATACGACGTACGACTCGTCTAGTTTTGCAAAGCATTTGCAATGTAAAATTAGACGAACTATACGTTGTATTCAGGGTACTCGTATACAATGTATATTCGTTATAAGTCAGGTAACACAGTAGTTTTTTTATCGCTTGAATGCTTATCGTAATGTCGCAAAAAATTACATCGGAATGAAGCTTTTCAGAATGTTGTTTTTATTATTGATTCTAGACACTTTACAGCTGTTAAAGTTGCATAGTACAGTGCTCTCACTAACTGCTTGGATTGCCTATCATAGTTGCATTTAAATTAACGTAATATTCATATAAATGCAAGGGGGTGTTTTGCCCCGGTGTGTCGTTTTATACACTCCTGCCCGATTTAGTCCAGTGGACGTTTTAGTTTTTGGACTGACCGTTGTTCGTCATTGTTGACGTCATCAGATGTGAAGGGGGCTGATTGAGGAAACGAGGAGATAAAATTTCATTCGTTTTCTTCGTTGTGCTTTCAAACGAGAGTCTACTTTCATGAAGAGAAAATTTCAAGCAGGATGAATTAAATAACCAGACCTGCTTGTCTGACATTCTGGTTTATCGAATGGTGGCCCGGTGGGAGGAGAGATCAAGAGAAACGACGGAACATACATTATGATCTACTGATGTTGGAAACTGTTCGCTCGAGGTGGTGTGTTGCTTATACCTTGGTCCTAGTTGAAGCAGAGTGGAGGAAAGATGTTTCATACTCTATATATGTACGTAAACGAGTCAAGACTAAGATACATTTCGGAATGGATACAACTGCATAGCTTTCAATTTTATCGCAATGGAAATGAACGGAACGTTTGACTTTGTTCGGTTGAGTTTTCTCTATATGCTTACATATATTTTCGTAATGTATGATGCATCAATATTTAGTTAACTCAATTAGACATTCAGTTATGGTAAATCTCATGAATGGCAGGTCAGGTATCCTCGGATAATGCAAAATCAGATAGGCCAAGCATCTTGAAATTGCTCTGGATGTTATGGCAGGAGAAGCAGCAGCAAAACTACAACACAGAAGAAAATTTTAATCGTTGCCTAAACTTTCCTTTTGTGTAATTCAAAGGTCATAAAACGTAATTTCTAACCACCCATCCTGGAAATTGTATAGCTTATAGCTCAGTGGTTTCCAGTTTTTCCTGAAACGAGGCCGCAAGTGTACGACTTTAAACTTTTTTTGATTTGCTACAGTTAGATTTATTTGGTATCTGACGAACTACATTATTTCTACAAATAAACAAAAATCTATATTGTTTACTGTAATCTTCTGTTTAGTGTGATTCCAGTCATAATTACCAAATAAAAAAACAACTTTTGTTCCATACATCAATCGTATAAGTTGTTCCAAACAATGATACAACGAGTAGTGCGTTCTTTTGAATTCCTGGATATGTTTTCTCTGATATATATACTTTCAGTTAAATTTCAGAAGATAATTGATTTTAAATGCCATTTCCGTAGCGTTTAATGATTATGAATATATTCCAAGTAGCAATTCGTTTTATGAGGGTTCTGTAAACCGTGATTTAGGCTTGTAGAATGCTATAAAACCTCTATAAAGCTTGCAGTGTTACTTGAGATGGCACTACCACTCACTGTAGCAAGACAACTTTCAGTAGACTATAGACTTTCCTCGTAGTTCTATTTGATTAAGTATAATAACCTTTAATTGAATTCAACCTGCAATTGTATGAAGGGCGAAAAACGGGTTGGGTAGATCCGTAACATCTGTCAACATTGCCCTCGTGCATTCACGGGATAGTTGAGAATCTCCTTCCAACAACAGTATCATACAGTCGGTCAAAAAACAAGCCATCCAACAGGAGAATGCTCTAATGAGTGGGGAGAAGAGCTCACCCTCTATTCACGAAATGTTAAAGATAAGGAGTTGGCATTCCCAATCTTTCTATCCATTTCGCTTCAATTGGGTGCCCCAGTGGAGCCTCCCGTACCCAGCATTTAATGGTTATTTTAAAATGGAATGAAAGTATTAAAAATATAAAGGAATGATCTCACTGATATTTTGCAAAGAAATCCATCACATCACGATGATTTCGAAGAACTCCTTTAGATATACAGCAGCTACTTCTTCAACCGGTGCTTAAACAGCACTCTCTTTCCTCCATTTGCCAGCTGGAACGTGAATCTTCCCCCGATTGGAGAAGAAGCAAACGGTAGACTAATTCATTATATTCAAAATCTAAAAATATTTCACCGGAATTTGCCATCAACCATGAAATGGCATCGACAAATTTGCTTGCAGATGACACTTTGCAAAGATAAATTGCTGAGTTTTTTTCCCTTCTTACAGAGAAGGGTATACATACCACTTGAAAAACTGACTTTAGAATTGAGGCCTGGAGCGTCGATTGTCATATACCATTCAAATCAACCCGATGAAATAAGACCGGAACATGTTCCGCAACACACGGATTTTGCGAACTAAGTTGTGTTTCTCAACAACCACTCAACCGAATGGGACGCAATATCCACCAAATGAAAGGTATCATGGTCCCATTTTTTTCCCAATGAAAGGTATGATTTTGGAATCAATCAGTTGGCTTCGGAGATATGACCGGAATAGATTTTGGCGAGAATGAATTACAAAAGAGTAGGTTACCTTTAACTTGCTATACCCCTCATACGACACCTCAAATCATATGATAATTCAACAGAAAGTTCATTGGTGGTCATACCGAGTGTCTAAAACCACATTGATCATATCTGGACATGTTCCGGGTACCCCGGGGAATAGATAGTTTATGACTTGACAAAACCTGCAGGTGGACCTCGAAAAACTTCGGACACGAAAATTTTGTTGCGTTGCATTTTATTTTTTATAGTTCAATGTAACAGTTATTCAGAAATTCTTCAGGTCAGTTGCAGTTCCACCCTTTTTTCAGTATGTGCTTCACAAATGACCACTATTCCTCAATTGGCCTTAGTTCTGGAGTATTGACCGGATTCATCTCCTTGGGAACCACTGTGACGCCATTTTCGATGTACCACTGTTTGGTAGAATTTGAATAGTGGCAGCTTGTAAGTCCGGCCAGAATAGGCAATATACCTCATGCTGCTCCATAAAAGACAGTAGTCTCTTTCGTAGGCACTATTCTTAGTCAATTTGTTCGTTCATGGTCCCAGAAGTAACGAAAGTTTCGCTTTTCAGCCCACAACTGCAGATTGCTTGCCAGACAAGGAACTTTTTGGGGAATTTTGACTTCATTCTTCCGGGGCACTATTCCGGTTAACCGAGGTACGAAATTCCTGTCCAGGAATTCGATCGAAAACAGCCAGGAGCGGATAGACCGGGATTTTCGTTTCGAGCGTGCAGGATCGAATCGCGACGTGCTTGCTCCGGTGAAGCCATGATGTAAACAAATGAACGTATCCTGACAACCAATGCCTACTGTGATTCTGTACACATTCTTAGCTTAATTCAGTAAAATTTTGAAAAATTTTACTCAAAAAATGCCTTAATGGCAGCGTTTTTAATGTGTCTGTATTTTTCCGGGTAGAACCTTTATTAATTGACATTCAGGCTCAATTTTTGAAAATCATTTCTAATGCGCTTTTTTAATGGTCTTATTGCTCCAAAGTATACCTTATACATCCATCTCGAAGATAAATGAGGAAGATTTGGATTAACGATTATATGAAACTATTGAAAAATAAAAGTGTGATGCACGGAAGGACTGACAATATCGGGTAATTACTGTAGTTTGATACTCAACCGCATAGATGGAACCAACATCTAAATTTTTACTCTGACATTATGGAGACTTGACGTCTTTGAAAAAGTTGTTCATCTAAACAAAATAAATAACGTATACAGTGATAGACATTCGTTTAGCCGAGAGCTAAAAATTTTGAAAATATTCAAAAATTATATTTAAAACATGTTTTTTATTCGGGATGTGATTTGTCGTAGCGGTAGTGTATCTGCATCACTTTGATGAGAGAGGAACGAGTCGCACGCACACACTCACCAAACCGGTAGCGGCGGATGTAAACATTCAAACAGCGTTTTCACCATAGACATTCGTTTAGCCGAGGTGCGAAAAAGTTTTGTTTTTGGCAAATATCTCGCGGTTTTCAAGTGTGTTTTAAAGCATTTCGATAAAACAACTTAAAATCAACAAGGTGCGTCAATAA